CCGGATCACACTTGGGAAAAGCTTGCTGTGGATATACTGTAGTAGGCCGTTTGAATGGGGGCCACATGATTGTCGATTTGCAATAATGCTTGTGGATTATTATAGTAAATGGTCGGAGGTTGGATTCATCCCAACGGTGAAAACCAATAAGATAATTTCCTTTCTGAAGCATATTTTCCTGTCTCTTATACACATCGAGATGTGTATAATAGACAGCCCCCACCCCGCGCCTGTTACGACACTGGCTAACACGCCAATCATCCCCCCCAATGAAAAATATTTTTCTACGCCTCTGGATGGACGAGCATTAAGTAACATCCAAAATACTGAATTTCGCCATAAACCTACACCTCAACTAGAGGTGGTGTAGGTTTTCTCTCCCGGAAAGGCTTTAAAGTCCATAAGAAATCATACACATTCATTTCATTTGAATGTCTTGATGCTATTTTCACATCTCAAGCGTAAGAATTCTCAATATTTTCAGACCACCGCCATCTAAAAAGAACAGGCTTACCTCACAAATGTTTTTCCAAGAGTTTGACTCCCTTCTAGAAGCTGTTTCATTGGTAAAATGGTGAGAAAGAGGCGCTTGCATGTGTATGGGCTTGCGAGAAGTGGCATGTCTATTTGTGGGGACGTAAGTTTAAACTCTGTACTGATCATAAAGCACTGGTTACTTTGTTAACTAAGGGTACAGACCGACAGTCAATGAGGATTGCTCGGTGGAATTGTAGATTAATGAGATACAATTATGATGTGGAATATACTAAGGGAGGTGACAATGTGATAGCGGATGTAATATCAAGATTGTCCACTGACGTAGAAAATGTAGTGTTGGAAGATGACTATGATGTCGTATGCCAAGTTTTGGTGGATACTGTGTCCAAGAGTATTCCCTTACATGTCTTTAATGAAGCATGTAAACAGGATGAAAATTTTGTTATCTTAAAAAGATACATACAGAATGGGTGGCCAAAGATTTAAACAGCTCAATGAGAATGCAAAACCATTCTATTGCTGTAAAGATGAGTTGAGTATCTCAGGTGATGTTATAATGAAAGGTGATAAATTGGTTGTCCCAAACCGCCTGACTGAGCAGGTACTGACCCTAGGACATGTGTAGAAGTGGTTGGCGCATCGGTTGTGGTTTGGACTCCCAACCTCGAGGTCGGGGGTTCAAAACTCTCGCTGTGCAAGTCGCTTGTGTCCTTGGGCAAGGCACTTTATCTACGGTTGTCTCTCTCCACCCAGGAGTAAAAGTGGGTACCTGGTAGGTTCAAACACAGCCTGCGCTAAATACAGCTGCAACATTATGGAATTCCCCTATGGGTCCTGAGTGTGTGTTCCATATGTGCTTGATCCAGTGATCCGGGGTAATAATGTTCAGCGCATAGAGAAGTTTGATATGCGCTATATAAGTATACAATAATAATAATAATAATAATTCCACCAGGGCATAATTAGGACAAAACAAAGATTAAGGGAATTATTCTGGTGGCCCTTAATGGATGTGCAAGTTGAGAAACTAATAAAGGAGTGTACTATTTGTCAACATAATGATAAATCCATTAAACATGCATATGCCCCATTAAAACCGGTGCCGTATCCGGATCACACTTGGGAAAAGCTTGCTGTGGATATACTGTAGTAGGCCGTTTGAATGGGGGCCACATGATTGTCGATTTGCAATAATGCTTGTGGATTATTATAGTAAATGGTCGGAGGTTGGATTCATCCCAACGGTGAAAACCAATAAGATAATTTCCTTTCTGAAGCATATTTTCAGTCGGGAAGGGTTCCCAAAAGAAATTGTCACTGATAATGGTGTTCAATTCACGTCTCGAGATTTTCAAACTTTCTTGAGTGACAGGGGAATTAAGCACTGTTTTTCTTCTGTGTATTACCCACAGGCAAATGGGGCCGTAGAACGTTTTAATGCAGTTTAAAAAAAATATTGTCCAACATTCCATACATACTGGTAAACCATGGAGAGAAACAGTGAGTTAATTTCTCGGAATATATAGGGCCACGGCACATTCCACCACAGGGGTTTCCTCCTCCGTTCTCCTTCATGGTCGACATATGCGAACAAAGTTAAATATTGCCGGAAGTAAATTGCCAAGTGTAAATATTAAGGATGTTAGAGAAAGGATATCAGTTAAACAGAGGAAATACAAGTCATATACTGATCGAAAAAGAAATTCTAAGACTACCAAATTATTGGAGATTGGGTACGGATTAGACATCAGGGGTTTGTACCAAAAGGGTTTAGTACTTATTCACCACCGATTTTCAAATCGTTAAAATGTTGAGTGACCACACTTTTCAAATTTCTGACGGAAGGAAGTGGAATATTAGTAAGCTGAGTAAATGCACTTCTCCACAGACAGTTACAGAGGATTGTCTTGTGGATGTTGAGTTGGATAAAGATAAGGAAGTGAATGTAGGGGAGTTTTCCATTAAGAAGAAGTAGAATCAGAAGACGTCTAATTAGATGGTTACGGTAGAAGATTAAGAGTAGTTTTTTGAGTGTTTGAAACAGAGTTTATAGTTAATTTTTAAGTTGTTTGTTTTAAAAGAAAGAGGAATATGTGGTATATTGTATAGCGCCATCTATGGCTATGGAATGTTGATTAGAAGTACGAGGAGAATAAACGCTCTCTTCGAGCATGAAAGAGCAATGTGAATGGTTGTGTGTTATTGATGCGTGAACATTGTGTAGGGAATACAACACACGCAAATCAAGTAATTTAGTTTTTGATACATCTGTCCTGCACGGTCTCCCATCCAACCATGCATCAGTAAAGTGGAAACTCAGGTTCCAACGTCCAAAAGCGCTTCCTATCACTGTTGAGCAACGGAAGATTCGTAGTATAGACATAGATGCTTTCTGTGATGATATTTGCTCATCCGCTTTGAGGGATTTATCATCCAACCGTATAAATGATCTTACTATTCGTTACAGTGCAGTCCTTAGTAACATCCTTGATAATCATGCTCCCATTGAAGAGCGAACGATAACACCTCGTCCTCATACTCCGTGGTTCACTGACGAGCTCCACCATGCTAAACAAGAAAAAAAAAGAAGGAAATTTTAGCGTAGATGGGTTAAATCTAAGTTAATTGTTCATAGAAATATCTATCTCTCTAAATGCCAAGAGTACCACCAAATGCTTGACCATGCCAAAACAAATTTCCATAGATCTCAAATTATCAACTGCAACCAGCATAATTTGTTTAGAAATATTGATAAATTGTCAGTGTTCAGACCTAAGCAAATTCTTCCATTAATCTCATCTGGTAATTTTACATCACTTGCAAATGAATTCGCCACCTACTTGCTAAAATCAAGCAGATCAATGAATCGTTAAAAACCGAAACAATTCCCACAGTCAGTCAACAAATGTTTGGATGAATTGCTTCCATTTCTTACTCACTTACTAAATACATCTCTATCAAGTGGTATATTTTCTGATACTTTAAAGGCTGCTCATATAAAACCATTAATCAAAAAAGCAAGTTTAGATCAAGAAAATTTTCCAGTTACCATTCTGTCTCAAGTGTTCCTTACATCTCAAACCTTCTTGAGAGAGTTGTCCTGTTGCAACTTCAGGAATATTCTTGATGATAATGATCTACTTGCTGAAGTCCAGTCAGCCTACTGTAAAAATTCGAACACTGAAAGTGCCTTACTAAGAGTTTACAATGACATTCTTTGTTCGCTGGACCAACGAAAAGAAGTATTGCAAATCAGAGCTCATACACTTCCTCTCATTTTTCCAAGATGAATCGTATAACCAGTGTACATATTGGCAATTCGGTGACGAATGTGTCTGCTGAAGTTCGAAACTTGTGTGTTAGGTTCGATTCGTCACTTTCTACGAATACCCAAGTGAAATCTGTATGCTCTTCAGCAATGTTGGGCATTAGAAAAATTGGCAGCATCCGTAGGTTTCTGCACGATAGGTCCGCTGCAACATTGGTTCATGCATTTGTAACCTCAAAGCTGGATTACTGTAATAGTCTACTCTACAAACTTCCCAAAAACTCACATATTCAAAACTGCAGTGTGTTCAAAATACTGCTGCTAGACTTGCTCTAAGTCATATTGCCACATTACCCTGGTTCTTCAAAACTTGCACTGGCTAACCATTAATCAGTGAATTGCTTTCAAGATCCTACTTCTTACATACAAGCCTATTCACAGTCTTTCTTCATCGTATATTTCAGAGCTCATCCCCACGTATGTATCGACACAGAAACTTCCATTTTCTTTTTAACTCAATCTCGAGTTTCCAAAAATGAGGAAAAGATATGGCTCTCGTTCATTTGTAAATGCCACCCCAAAACTATGGCATGGTCTTCCTCAGTACATCAAATCGGCTGTTTCTATCGAGTCTTTCAAAACCTTACACAAAAACTTTTCTGTTTAACAACACTGAATATGCATGATATGATTTCCCTTATTTCATCTGGGGTGGTGTTTTTTTTTCTTTCTATTAATGATGCATGTGCTATTGTTTGTGAGGTGTCCAGAGCTGGGCCCACCTGTTCCTTACTCGATACAACATCGTCGTTTGCAGTGCACGGTAGTAGAGCCGAGGGCTTATTCTGAGGTGGAAGCTACCTTAGCTCAGCATACTGCCTAACAGAGTGCCAGTGTGTAACAGCGACGTTGTTTTCGACATCGGTGTGTGGAGTCCTGTTCTGGATACTAATACCGATAATGCAAATGCTTTTTCGGAACTGTTTTAGTTGAAGTACCATAGTTTGTCTAAATTATTTACTGCTTGTTATCTTTTCTTTTTGTAAAGTGCATTGAGGCTTTTTTGAGGAATGCGCTGTAGAAGTATGGAATTATTAATAATAATAACAATAATGATAATAAAGGTAATATATTGCAATATATTGCTGTATTTTACTGTACATTTTTTAGCCTCCCTATCTTTTTGTATTTGCCTATTAGCTGATTACACTTTATCATCAATGACATTTTACAGGTGTGGATTTAGGATTGGCATATCTAATTCCTGGCAACATGAGAAACTCTGTTTTTTATGCAGCTGTTGTACTAAAAGTAAGTTTATTCATATATTTACTGTAATTATTGTTTTACTCCAGTTTTCTTATTTCTAAACAAACATGTAACTATTTATACTAGATATAACATTTATAGTGTTTTAGTTTAACTAACTTTAATGTTACTTTCATGCTCTTGGGTTCGAATTCCGTTGGGGACATACGTTTTTCTCAAATATTTATCATCTTCAATCAACACTAGTGGAGGTGTATCTCCTTACCATAGTTACTTTCATAACATTTTTATAGAAATAGTGAATGGTTATAAAGTGCTTGTATCTGCCATAACCTATACTCTTGTCGAAAGATTCCTTAATTGAGAGAGAAAGATATAGATTATTGTCTTGACCTTGGTTTCTTCTTGTTGCCTCTTTCATTGAGGTTATGTATTTCACTGCTGTCTGTCTGTCAGAAAGATTATGCAAAATCTAATGAATGGATCATCATAAAGTTTAGTGGATCACCCAGAAGCTATAGATTCCACTGTTCCCCGAATCTAGAGCAGTCAATAGTTGTTTTATATCCCTCATACATAGATTCTACGAGGCCTAAAAAAAGTAATGAAAGAAGTACCCACCAAGTAAGCTTAGGCTTAATTGCTATCCCTAGATGATCAAGTGCCATCTCTCTCAGCGTCCTGTTGTTGAGGTCGCATCCCCTTACCCTTAACGTCCTGGTGTACCATAAATTAAAGTATAAAGCAACGTGTGGGGTCTAGAGATTATATCGTGACAATGCAAAAAAGTACTATCATTTAACGTGAGTGCTTTCCCCCCCCCCCCCAGGTATTTATGAACTATCATTCAAACCTATGTCATAGGAGTGATGGTTGAAGTTATTACCTGCTTTTTAATCTTTCGTACAATAATTTAGTTCAAATATTACCTAATATCGATATTTTTAATTTTTCTACCTTTATTTTAATTCTTAATATTTAATATGTAAAAATGAATTTTTATGCTGTTTTATATATTTATTTAATCTTTAGGCATATATTTTTAATATCATATTGTATTTTTATGGCAACCCTGTTTTTGGTGTTTGACACACTGTTGGGCTTTGAATAAATAAATAAATAGTAAATAAATAAATAAATGTTCAAAGGAAGTGATGATTATATTTTGGGAAGAAAAGGTGAATGTCACAGAAATCCTTTTCTTACCCTCAGCATAAAAGAAAATTATGGAATGGCCCATCATACATGGCCTACATATTGTTCCGTATTCATGGTACAGGGAAGAGGTATTCACTCTATGGAGTGCCTGCACAAGTTGAAAAAATATCAGCCAAACAATGGCAACACATTCTTTAAGTTTTATTATGTTTACTGTATCAGCAGATTAATCAGCTGTTTAATACATTTATTTAAAATGTATTTTGTACTACTGTACATTCAATTCAATTTTTTCAGAATGCAGAAATGAAGTTTAATTTCATTCAAACCAAATTTAAGTATCAACCAGGGGTAGGTATTTTTTATCCGAATGTGATATAGACAGTATTATATTTTTTGTTTGATTATAAATTGTATTATGTATGTCATTGTTTTATGTTTAATTTTTTTTAATACATTTATTTGTGACAATTATTGTTATCACTATTTTTTGTACAGCTAGATTTTAGTGTGTATGTTAAAATAATAACAATGTTGAAATACATTTTACCAGTTGTATATAATGTCCCATGAATTTAAATTACATGTCTTCTTCCAAATAAGCACCACTTTTGGGACCGGGATTTCCATGACTTTCAGCAGCTTTGGTCTCTAATAATAAAGATAAAAGACATTTAATAATATGGGACAACAGAAAATGGTCTTTAATTGGAGGTTCTTTAGTTGGAGCAGTTTTTGTCTAGAGGGCAGAGACCTGTGTATATGTCCTACAGTTTTTGCCTACTTGTATAGTTTTATAATATAGTAATTTTTTTTTTCCAGTATGGCTTCAAAAGTTTGGATCAGGCTCCTACAGACTGTGTTGTAAGGTCTCCTAATGTTGGTGAGTAGATCAGTTCTTGAGTTCCAATAATTAACAAGAGCGACTGCTCACTGGTCCGTGCATTCCTCCACGCTTATACTGTACAGGCGCAAGTTATTATATTGGGTTTTTTGGAAGAGCTAATAAGATAGAAATTTTTAAATATTTAGGATATTTATTTGTACAAAAAAAATTAGTATTTAGAGTGTTCATTCGTACAAAATTAAAATATCTTAAAATTGAAATAAAAGAATTTCTTTAAATGAGGAAAAAAAATATTGAGTACCAAGACGCGATTCTAACTCACAACTTTAAGTTCTTTAGAACTCATCCTTAACCGAATGTGCCATCCATGCGACATTAATGTACAGTCCTTGCTGAAATTCCTGTTTTGTTTTGTGGGTGTAGCTGGAACCCTGGGTCCAATTTATTAAAAAGACGATGCACCTTTAGTTTATGTGTACAAAATTTCCTGCACTTCCGTTAAAAGCCGGCGACGCTGGATGCTTTTATAATGTTGGTAACAAGAACAAGAACGCAGTGAGGCTCTGGGGTCAGCACCTTGTGCGGACCAAAAAACAGCAATTTACATTTTGAGAATGCTCAGCAGAAAACAAATTGAAAGGAAAAAATGAAATGGATTAGAAAGAAAAGTAAAGAAAAGAAAAAGAGAAAAGAAAAAAAAGGGAGAAAAGAAAGGGAAAAAAAAGAAGAAATGAGAGCAATTGGAAGATGAATAGAGGAAAGTGAAAAAAAAGGAATATGATGAGAAAGTAATATGAAAAGCAGTCATCATAGAAGTGTGTAATCATTCCCCACAAAATTCACACTGGTAATGATTTTATCCTTTGTATGTAGTGGACAATCGGGTCTGCCAGAAATTTCACTTGTCCTACAATCATAGACCTTGTCATCTGACACCATGATGAGGTTGGAATACACTGAGTTTTTAGACAGCCCATTTGGACCTCTGTTTAGCCCCTTTTGACTAATTTCTAGAGCCACCACATTTTTGTGCCGCACCTTTAGGCTGCTATGATCAAGACAAAATAGTCATTAAGAAACTGTAGGTAGCGATAGCTTTTACTATGGTGGAATGGGAATTCCGAACTAATGAATGTGCAAGTGCAGTTATCAAAGAACATCTGTGAAATATGTATAAAAGCACAGTGAGCATGCACTTAAAAAAGCTAGACAACTTGAGATAATGTGCACTTAGTAAGTGACATTGTTGACATGTTACCAAAAACATGTCTCAGGAAAGAAACAGCATCTGCGAAGAGGGTATGAAGATATAAATGGGAAAAATCAAACTATTTTATGCAACAGTTAAGCATGCGCAACTCAAGTTAATTTGATCATGCATATGCATGAATATGAAAATTGAAAATAATGAGAATTCTGGTCAAAAAGCCTTGGCTATCGAACGCCTACAGTGTATCTTATAATAGTCAGGGAGAATTGTAATTAAATTATTGCACACAACAGTTTATTTGGTGCTATCGTCATACGTACGTATACATTGACAATCCAAGAAAAATAACCACAGAAACTGACGACACAACCTAGGGTAGGTTTTTCTGGGTAGCTACTAATAGCCAAGTAATAGGGGGAAGCCTAGGCTTAGTCGCATTGTATCGATAGGTACAATGCTGCATGCTGAAGAAAGATAGCTTACAAATGCTGTTCGTCGTATGCATCCATTATTGACAATCAAAATAAAAATAGCCACACAGAAACTGAGAGCAGTAGGCTTAGCAGGGTGGGTTTGATAGAATTTATCTATAACCCCGCCAGCAGAATAATCAAAACAATAAAATATTTTTAAAATATTGAATACAAATAAATAGTATAAAATATTAAAAAATGATAATATTATCATCAATAATAATAATAATATTAAAAATAATAATAATTATAATAATAATAATATGTAGTATAATAATAATATTATATAATATTATTATTCTTATCATTATTATTGTAATGTCGTAGCCTTCTGCCCTCTATTATGTTGAATACCGATGTTGGAAATGAGGATGTTAGGGTGTGGAAATAAAGCAAGCGAGTAAACGTTATACCGTAGTCAGTTGTGTACGTTATTAACCGTTCTAACTTGAGTAAACAGACACTCCACAAACATCACATTAGCGACGAAGACATAAGTGATATCCATAGAACCCACCTATCAACTCCACTGACCTGTAAGTATGTTACAGCTAAAGTTTTTAGCTCAATTACTTTAAGAACACATGTCCACCGTATCCGATAAAATGGCTCTCTCCAACGGTACCCTCTCCAACGTGACCTCGGCGGCGTTCACAATCCCTTCACTGCCCCCATTGGACATGTCGTCCAGCAACTTACATGAAGCTTGGAGAAAGTTTCAACAGCCTTTTGAAAACTGTGAACTGGCGACAGGGGACAATGAAAAAACGATCCACAACGAGTTGCTACACGCCTTTCTATTGTTGGCCAGCCAGCCCTTGATGTATATAACAGTTTTGTTTGGGAAGATTCAGGAGATAAGACAAAAATTGACAAAGTAATTCAACAGTTTGAAACTCATTGCATAGGCAGGAGGAACATCACTTATGAACGATATGTATTTAATAGTAGATCCCGCAAAACAGGAGAAAGCATTGATGCCTATGTAACAACCTTACGCAACCTTTCTGACTCATGTGAATTTGGCGAGCTAAGACCTAGCCTCATCCGCGACCGCATTGTCATGGGTGTAGATGATTCAAGTATGATACAATGTCTTTTGCGTACAAATAATCTCACCCCAGAGAAGGCCATTGACATAATTCGTGTCAACGACACCGCAGCAGCTCAACGCAGTTATCGGAAACTGACATTATACATGAGCTGTGATCAGGAAATCAAACAAAGGTGCCACATACAACAAACAACAAACATCTAGATACCAACCAACCCTTCAGAATATACCGGCAGTAGATCGTAAACAAACCAAACAACCTCCAGCTGTGTGTCATCACTGTGGTGGAGATTATCCACATCCCAAGGAATGCCTAGGGTTTGGTAGACTGCACCTACTGCCAAAAGAAAAACCACTTTGCAAGGCAATGTCGAACAAAAGCACGCAATTGAGAACGCACAAATGCACTCATAGACACTGCACCCAGCGATAGTGATTCAAGTGAAGAATACGCATATGTCCTCAAAGCTAGCACCCTCGACTCACAAGAGAAAAAACCACATGTTGAAATACTAATCAATAAGTACAAAATGAAAGTCATGATAGATACGTCATGAGTGATGAACACTACAACAAATTGACAACAAAACCGCAATTGCAGCACACTATCACAAAGATCTTTGCATATGGTGCTAAGAAACAACTTGATACACTTGGGAAAATTCATGTAACCATTCACTGTATTGTGCGGTTTGTGAAGGAGTCTGTTGTGTTTCGCAAGTGCCCAGAGACTCCACGTAATTGACATACATGTTGTGTTGAGTGTTGATGCAGATGATACAGTTGAAGAACTCATCGAAAGCTACAGTGATCGTTTTACTGGGCTAGGCAAACTTACAGATTATAAGTGCAAACTTCACGTTGATAAAGATGTACAACCAGTAACACAACCACATAGACGAATACCGTTCCAAGTAAGAAATAAGGTAGAAGCAGATTTAAAACGCCTCCAAGACTTGGATATCATTGAAAAGGTCATTGATAAGCCAACACCATGGGTTTAACCCATCACTGTTGTAAAAAAGCCTAAAAATCCGAACGAAATCAGACTCTGCATAAACATGAGAGCTACAATACGACTACACCTTAAAATACCAACCAGGAAAAGTCAACCCAGCAGATGATATATCCCGCCACCCATTTCCAACGACGAAAGAATCCAGCAGAGAGGAACAAATGGCAGAAGAGTATGTTAATCTCACACTATCAAATGCAATTCCAAGATCCCTCACTGTTGAAGAGATAGAACACGAAACCGCAAAAGACAAAATGCTACAGCTATGTATATCAGCCAGAAATACCAACAAGTGGCACACCAATCAAAGGCAAGCATTAGGGACTACCAAAAAAGACATTGACTCTCTTTACAAACTCAGAGACCAAATCAGTGTTAGCGTCAAAAACGACATACTGCTGCGTGATCATCGCATCATAATTCCCAAATCATTACAACGAACAGTCGATATCGCACATGAAGGCCACCAGGGAGTAATTAAGACAAAACAACTCATGAGGATGAAAGCCTGGTTCCCTGGCCTTGATCATATGGTTGAAGAAACCATAGCTTCATGTCTTCTGTGTCAGGCATCAACTCTCGAGAAGTACGCCTTTGCACCACTAAGTATTTCTAAACTCCCACAAGGAGCCTGGCAAGAGGTATCTCCCGTTGGCAATTCTGTAAAGTCAACGCTTGAAGCGTTGACTTTACAGAATTGCCAATGGGAGAATACTTGATGGTAGTAATCGATGACTGTATCAGGTTTCCTGTCATAGTAGTCATGAAATCAACATCATACCACATCACACCACATAGTTTAACTGGGATGCCACCAGCTACTCTGATGTTTGGGAGAGAAATACGCACACGGCTGCCAGAGATACCACGCAGTTCCACAAATGACAAAACTCTCCGTCTACATGACAAAAAGGCAAAATCCACGATGAAACTGAACGCAGAAAGAAACAAACGCTTCCAAAACAAAACTTTTCATGAAGGAGATGTGGTTCTATGCAAGAAGGATAAGGACCTTATCATACACAACCTTGCACAGTCACCAAAGTCAATGGCACCATGATATCAGCATACAATGGAAATCAAACAATCAACAGGAATTCATCTTGTTTCAAAAAGGCTGACCGGCTCAAGAACAGTAAAAGCTACAATCAACAGCTTCAGCTCGATAGTGACTATGACGATGAACCAACCCCGGTACCTCAGTTTGCCCCAGCACCTCAAACACCAGATAGGCAATGACCAAAGAGAAGCATCAGACTTCCAAGCCGACTAAAATACTATGTTGTGTAACTGATTTGGGAAATGGAACTTTTGCAAATTTTGTTGATTATGATGTTGAGAATAGTTTAAACGTTAAAAAAATAAAAAAAAAAAATTAAATAAATTAAAATAAATAAATAATAATAAACAAAAAAAAAACCGTAGTAACAACTTCGCAAAGCAAGCTACTTATGCTACAAATTAAGGTCTTCTAACTAACCAAAATAAATAATCTTAATACTGCTCTAATGTACAATACAAAGTCTACCAAATAGACTGACTTTAATTCCATTTAAGGGGGAGAGGGATGTATTGTCATATCCTTGGACACCGCCCTCTATTATGTTGAATACCGATGTTGGAAATGAGGATGCTAGGGTGTGGAAATAAAGCATGCGAATAAACGTTATACCGTAGTCAGTTGTGTACGTTATTAACCGTTCTAACTTGAGTAAACAAACACTCCACAAACATCACAATTATTATTATTAACAATAATGGTAAGTACACAAGCTAACGAAAGTCTACAGTATATGATAGGCCTACATCAAATCATATATCACACTTTCTACATTTCTAATGTGGAGTACTGTTTAGTATGTTTTTTTTAATTATTTTAATCCTGTGGCCACAATGTAAATAACTTTGTAGCTATTGCAGGGCTTGAAATTAAGGGATTTTTTAAGATGCGACAAGGAATTCAACTTTGTCGCGCTCAGTGCGACAAGCTCATTTGATAGCGCGAGTAGATTTTGTAAGCGGCAGGAAGGTGGTTTCCCTCCAAATCCCAATTATTTACAACTTGTACAGCCCATTATTTTCAGTCAGGCAGTACACAAAACATGTTATCATTCATTCTACATGTACTGTATCAACCAATCAGCATGACCTAGACTGTTAAAGTGTGACGTCGTACACTAAAACCGTGTCGATGTGCGCTCATCTTATTCTTGGTAAATAAGCGATCACCGTCAAAGTGAAGGAGACTGGTATAAAAACATCGGATTGCTCGATTTTGTACTATTTTATTGAGTGCTACTCTTACCTGTACCTCCTCGTAATTGTGAACGTTTCCTTAACGTATTTGTTCATAAAATAGACTATGTACCGAAATTTCAAACGATCGTATACAGTATTGACTCATACGATGTAAACGGCCCAGATCAAGCAATAATCAAAATTTAACTCTAAATAGATCGTAAATAAATACAATTAGGCATCATCTGGATGATTATATTCAAAGTTCTACCGGTATTAAGGCAGACATCTTTTATTGAAAACCAAACGAATTACCTAAACCTCATACATTATGAAATAAGATTACGCTTCTTCAATCACATGGCTGATGATAACAAAGGGTATAAAATACTCTTTAATGATAACCTCAGCCAGACTTCACGGAGCAGCTATAGTTTAACAACATGCATCTCAATGAGCAACATATTGAAATTTAAGAAAAAACAAACAAACAATAGGTCTCACAGCAAATTTTGAAACCTAATTAAATGAAATAATGTAGAAAGGAACTCCTTTACTACCATTCATTTACTGAACGAGCCAGTCGGCTTCTGAACTACTTTTGTTCGTATCGGCGGCGTACAAAGAGTCAAATGACTTTGTGTCTGGCAACCTCGGTGTCTGTGTCTACCAGGAGGAGCCTGGAATTGGGAACGTTTCTCACTGAATGTGTAGACGGTAAGCAGAGTTATTTCGTAGGCAACTAGTAATGGGCCTCTATCATTCTCACTGAATGTGTAGACGGTAAGCAGAGTTATTTCGTAGGCAACTAGTAATGGGCCTCTATCAAACAATTTATTTCGTTCTTAACAAAGTATGAGCAGAAAGTAAGCAAACTGATTGTTTAATCATGTTTTGAAATAATATAAAAATTGGATTGTATATAAATGAATATTTAAAGATTATATTTTAAACGTGGAATTAATAAAGTGCAAAAATTGAATTAATTGGTTAATTTAATCTATAAGATATATAAAAAATATATAATTCTACAAGGAATGTTTCTTGTTTTGACAAACAACAACAAAAAACGTAATCAACAAAACAACATCAAACTAACTGGTAGCAGGCCTTCCAATTACGAAACTATATTTCGCGGAGTAACATCCAAAACCACGTGTGCGCCCGACTACACCGGCTGGCGAGTAAGGTATGTTGAGTCCATTTGCAAGTTGTAAACAAATCAGAATGCTGGGATATTACATCATTTGGGGCAACTTGCAATGTTTGGTTGGGATGTTCTCTGGTGATTAATATACTGAAGTTTCGAAAGTCGGAAGGCGTACCAGTTTTTAAAAAAAATAATTGTCAATATAAACAACCATTGAACATGAAAATGAAACTATAGATCGTTATATATGATATATGATAAGATACTTTGCTGAAGTTGTACAGGCCCAGGCCTAAGTTCTAGGCTACATTATAACAAGTGTCGCCGGCCGACTGTGTGATGCCAATTTTTCAGGCTTAAAACAAAGCCTAAATTTATGGCCTCTGACAAGTGGGGAGCTGGAATCTCAACACTCCCGAAATGTTTAGGTTGAAATTATTATGTGTAAATTGATTTAGAGTTATCTCATAAAGAAAAAATTCCATCCACGCATATTAAAAATAAGTCTGCCAATTTCCGTGCAAATGTTGCATTAAAATCGGCCGGTGGCTATTGTAACCAATGTATAGGCATTTGCGGTTTTAATGCGATTCTGCGGACCTATTTTCTCGAAATTTCCTGCACAAATGAAGAAAAATACTGAAAAATTTAAAGAAAGTGTACAGAAAATATAATTAATGTTTCAGTAATAATAATAAATGATTCTATAATCAATATATCAATCCACTTTCCGTAAAGTAACTGCAGATTTTGGCAGTCCATTGACTAGACAGTTTAGCTAGCACATTAGCACAATATTACTGCTCATGTTTTTCTTTTTTATATTGTGTATATCTGTTAAATTAACAGAAATTTGTAATTTTCTTAGAAATATTTTCAACAATTGAAACTTTCCAGGAAATACTTTCCCTTTCCTTCCAGTTAGGTTGAATTTTTTACCTTGCACCTTTTTTCTTTACTATCCTTTTAATATCTATTTTCTTTTTAATATTGTTTCATCATTTTTCTTATTTCATTTTTGATACTTACCATTCTTTAAGTTTTTTAATTGTCATTTCTTTCCATCATTTTACTTCTTTCTTCTTTTTTCTTTCCTTCCTTTTGTTATTTGTTATTTATTATTTTTCTTGTTTTTTTGTTTTTCAATTTTTAAAAATCTCTTCTCTTTTTCTTTCATGTCTTCTTTCTTGCATAATAACCCACCTACAGTGTAGGTGTGGGTGGGTGGGGGGTTGTTAGGAAATATAAAGAATAAAAACTTGCGCAGCGCTTATTATCTTAGGGGATGCGAAAAGGATGGAGAAATATGTGCTACTAAAAAAATTACTTGTGCTACCAAATTTTTTTGGGGGGTGCCAGAAAATTTTGGCAGCGCTACCAAGAAAAAAAGTTAATTTCAAGCCCTGTATTGTTACACCAGTCACAACCAATTCTACCTGTAGGCTATTATTTTTAAGTTTATGTGTCATATTATTAAAAGAAATGCATTGAAGATGATATTGTTCATTCTCTAGTATACATTAATTTACCAGTCATAAGTTGAAGATGTTGCGGCATTTTTTTTATAGGAAGTATTTCTTGTTATCTATAGTGGTATTGGTGGTGGAGGTCGGTTCGTAATGTCGTGTACTCGTTTTTCATCTTCCTCTCTGAAGCTTTATTTAAAATAAACACGCAAAATTCACCATGTTGGTGGCGCTATAGTGATATTAATTAACCAACAGTCGGTTCTCTTATGTTACTGCCATCAAAGAGTATATATATATATATACTCTTTGCTGCCATGTACTACAAGCGTGTTATATATAATGGCAATCTTATTCATCCGGTGGTCGTACCTATAGTGTGTTTATCGAGCTTGCTCTTGTTTATGCTTACTTTTGTATTTACTTAATTTGATAAATTAATTAAACCATGACTTCACTAAAATTTGTGAAGCGGAAAGATGAAGGAACCGTGAAGGAAATAGAATAGATTTGTTGTTCAACCCCGAGGCCTAGCGAGCCTAGGCCCATTCTAGGCCTGACATCATCACAGTGCTAAGAGGCTCTAGCTCCGGGACAATGTCTAGTCTAGGCCTAGGTGACTTCGCGAGGGCCTACAGCTACCCCCTTCCCCCCCGGTGGCTACGCCACCTCGTCCATATTTTTTTTCTACACCTGAATATCATCCCTGTCTCCTAAGTACACCACTGCTACAAGCAGTCATAATTGATGTGATCATCTTGTGTCTATATTTTTTCATCCTTTGTATAGGTACTGGAGGAGTAGCATCTTTTGGTAAACCAGCTCCAAATGCACCACAAGCAATCATTATTGAGGTGTGTGTTTATACTGTAATTTATTATTTGTTTAATTTACATTAATAGCATTTTCATTAACAAATGTATGAAACAGTTTTATGAATGATACCAATGATAATAGTATTCATTTTTTAATTTAAATCTTAAAGGATTCAGTGCATTTTATTTTGCACATATTTTAGAAAATTGAAGATTTAGTTCGCATTTGCAGTCTGGATATTCATTGCAACCAGTATATAATGTATAGCCCTTGTTTTTCGCGGTCCTATATTTTTGCGAATTCACAATTTTTAATATTTCGTGACCACTACTTTTCGCGATTTTACAATTTCCAGTCATTTTAGGATGATTCAAAACCTACCTTTCATGTTTTTTTAATAAGAGTACGTTTTGTATAGATATTTAATATGAAAATAACGCTAAAAAGAAAAGTTCGACATTTTGACTCCTTCATTTTCAAGATCAAATGATGAAGTATAGAATATACAGCAACTATAATCAATAGAAAAAAGCTAATCTACAATGTCAAAGTTCATAACAGTGGGATATTAATCCCTGTGTTAGATAAAAAGATAAAAACTGCTGAGGCTTAACCAAGATTTTTCAAAGCAACATTTTATTGTTAGAAATCTTGAAGAAAATGTAGGCCTAATATTGATATGTTATATAAAATTATTGTAGCAGTTCATTATCAACTAATGGGAAATATTTGTATTGTAGAAGATATACTATGCTATGATTTTTGTTCCACCTTCCAAATCTCAGACGATTTGTCCAATTCAGGACGGTAACACTCACTCGAAAAACCAGACGATAGTTTAATAGACATCGTTTAAAGACAAGCATACCAGACGCTGTGAAAACGAGACGCTTAGCTATACTCGCATTGCCATGGAGATTATCTGCTGATTAACACGACACACCAGTAGACGTTTTCTTGGTTAATTATGAAGTGAAATTTACGCATTCCAATGTTTTAATAAGTGTATATTCTTGCTTTTAATCCTTAAAAACCATTTGGAATCAACCTGCAATAAAGGGGGAACTCAACAAAGCAAGTTTCTACTGGTTACTCTTTTCAGTAGACGTCTAATTCAAATTCGTTAGATTCGTCGGTGTAAAATTCAAATGCACCTCATTCATTCTTTTCAAAACATGTTGCTAATTTAATTACGGAGGAAATTTGTAGAGAATAAAATATAATTTGTTAGGTTTATTTAGATTTGACTCTAAAATATACCATGAGGGTTTCTTATTTGTTTTTTGTTTTGTTTTATAAATTTGTTTAATTAAAATATTTTTGATTACACCGAGCTTGTTACTGTCACGCACTATAAAACTTTGGGCGATCTGACGTCATCACAGCCGAAGCACATGTCTAGTCTAGAGTTTTTGGGGGCGTGGCCTGTTCTGTTTACAACTAGACTGCCGACCATTGCCCAACGAAGAATGTGTGCTTGGAAAAACATAATCAGACCTAAAGAAATTCACGCAAAAACAATATAAAAGTCGCATCAGTTTTATTGGTAATAATTAAATTTGCTAAGCAGTACAGCAAAATAACAGGTACTGTACGTATTACTGTATAAAATAATGTATTGAATTTGCGTAGGCTAGGCAGTCAAATGTTAGTTTGACATGGCTAACTTGTTGCCG